GGGGGGGATGCGTCTGGGAGCTCCCCGTGAGGTTAATGCGCGGTGTGAGGGGAAAGCGCGGCCGCAGGGCCAGCCTCTGGAGGGGGATGCCTTGCGGGGAGGGGGAGCGGATCGTAGCTTTGATTAAAGCACAAGTTGTCCTGGCCTGGAAGTGTTTCCCAGCTTTTGGGTGTGTTTTCCAGATCAGGGGTGCAGCTGGTGTGATGGGGGGGGGTCCCTGGGGGCTGTGGAGTTTGAGCGCTTCAGGTGTGTCATGAAGAATGAAAAAAGGGGTTTTCAGTAATCATAGAATCGCTTTGGTTGGAAAAGACCTTTAAGATCATCGAGTCCAACCTTTAACCTAACCCTGCCATCCCACCGCTAAACCCTGTCCCTGAGCATCTCATCTATCCTTCTTTTAAATATCTCCAGGGATGGGGACTTGACTGTTTCCCTGGGCAGCCCATTCCAGAGCCTGACAACCCTTTCTGTGAAGAAGTTTTTCCTAATATCTAGCCTAAACCTGCCCTGGCGCAACTTCAGCCCATTCCCCCTCGTCCTATCGCCCGTTGCCAGGGAGAAGAGGCTGACCCCCTCCTCGCTACAGCCTCCTCTCAGGCAGTTGTAGAGAGCAATCAGGGCTCCCCTCAGCCTCCTCTTCTCCAGACTAAACAACCCCAGTTCCCTCAGCTGCTCCTCGTAAGACTTGTGCTCCAGACCCCTCACCAGCTTTGTGGCTCTCCTCTGGACATAATCCACGCAGACACACAGAAGCTGGGGTGTGCCTGATGGTGGTGGCTGAAAGGGTTTTCTCAAAGTGGTTTCTTTCTAAAAGTGGAGGTTTTTTTTCTCTAAAAAGAGGTTTCAGCCCCTGAAAATGGCAGCGGGTGGCACGCTGGTCTGTAGGGAGAGGTCCGGTGCCTGGCTCTGCGCCTTTTTGTTAGCTGAGAGATAAAATACAAATGTGCACACGGTTATTTATGTGTTTCACCGTGCTTTTTGTTCAGTTTTTGGAGATGGGAAGGAAGAACATGTAGGAATTTGTGCAATTCTTTGCTTTGGTTTTAAATTTGCATTGACTCAGGGACAAAAGCAAATTAAGACCTTGCGTGTAACTGTTTTTTACACTGCAGTAGATTATTAAATCATGTTTATGCTGGGTTTCTGTAGGAGACAGGGACTTGCTTGTGCCAAGATTGTGAATGTGAGCTTCCCATGCAAAGCCTCATTTACAGTTTAGTTTCTACAGCTTAATTTCCAGGTTAATTTCTGTACCCTCATTACAAAGCATAACATGATGTGTCAGATTTGTTTTCATGCCTTAGTTCGTCCAGAAGCTGAATCTTTGTCTAAACGATGGGAATAAAATTGGCTGTCTAGCAGAAATATTGTGGCAGAATTCTGTGGAAAATGGGTAGCTTTCTTTGCCAAGTTGTACATTATTCAGGACGTGACTGTACTGGGTATTCCAAATAATATCTGTTGAAGTGGTATTGCTTCAATACCATTCAGAAATTACCGGGCATGTGAGCCAGAGAGCGTGAGTGAATTGAAATGTACTTGGATGATGAGAATGAGCTATCTTTTAGTCCTTATGATCCGTCTTGCAGGAGTGGCTGTGAGACCTGGAGTTCCTCTGAGCCTTATGTATCTCTGTAGATTGTCAGCTCCTGTTTTCGTGGCAGCTGTCTGAAGAAAATCTTCATATTTGGCTCCTTAAATAGACAATGATCATCTTTGTTTGGATGAAAAATTCACTATAAGCCATTAAATGTTAAAATACCATTCAAACCATGCTTGGCTTTTAAGAAAATCACGCTGTTGTATAAATGAGTATTCTTGACTAAGCATGTGATGTTGATTGAATTGTTAGGACAGCTTTTGGCAGAAGCTATTATGAGATTATTTTGTTCAGTTTGTTCAACTAGTTCCATTCAGTAGCTCAGCATTTAAATTTTACTGACTGGGAGTTAAAACAGCATTCTTCCCTCCTCTCCCCCACCCCCCCTTTCCTATAATAAAACTGAAGAGTAAGAGAATGAGTTCTGAAACATGGTGAAGTGGCAGCCATGCGGTACAGCCATGTGTGGAATCTAATTACTTCCAGTGGCTGCAAGCAATTAGATTACCTAACTACAAATCCATTCTTTTGCTTAATGAGCTTCGTTCAAAAAATACACATTTGAACATTTTTTCCCTCACTTACCCTCTAGTATTAAAACTGCATGGTTTAAGCAATAAAATATTTCTTTTTCTGCTGGACACTTTTTTTTCTTAGTCAAGTTTCAATTTCTATTCAAGTATTGGTTTGGCTCATGAGCAAAAAAAAAATAAAAATCATAACATTGTCCATTATGTCTGAAAATTTTAAAGATACGAGAATCAGAGTAAGTTGAGCTACACAATTCCCTGAGTACATATTTACAGATCAGCATGATTTCCTGTCAAAATTAAATACAAAGTAACACAAATTATGGTTAGAAAAACAGCAGCAAACATAGGGGGTTTTGTGGGGCTAGTGTGGTTGGTATGGTTAAAAATGCTGATTAAAGCGAGTTCATCCTACCATGAGCGTTGTAAGAAGAGCCTGTCTTGTACCCTCATTTACAATCTCGCCAAGTCCAAGGATTAATCAAAAGTATTTTTCTTCTAATTTGTTTGCCTTGAAACTGATCTACAGTAGCACAAAGTGGTGCCAGGCACTCAGCAGCTGTACCTGTCCTGTGGGCAGGAGCAGCCTTTAGCCTGGCTGTCACGTTGTCATGACTGCTGCTGAATTCAGCTGAAAAGAAAGGACTCTTCTAATCTTCCCTGACAACCGCTCACTAATTGGAGGAAAAAACCTGAAGTCTTTGTGGAAATATATTCTTTTGCCAGTTAGTACTTTTTCTGTGGCAAATATGAGGAGATACCTGAGGGCTGTCTTATTACTAGCAGCATGTATGCCCTCCTTTGCCTGCATTGCACTATCAGATTGCTTTGGCATATATTTTAGTATGAAGTTCTGCACTTTAAATTTACCCAAATAAAAAGCTGTCAATGAATTTTACTATGACAGTCATTTTGAGTGGTTAGGCTATTTACACCAGCACTGGCAGGTCTCTGTAGCTGTTGTTTACGCCGTGGCAACAGTATTGCTTGTTGCTGTCGAAAGTAGCAGTTTTCCCATTCTTCCTTTTTTCAGCTGATCTACAGAGGCTGACTTATGGGAACTTAAATGTTGGACCTCTTCTATCAGTATGTTGTTAGTAAGCCAGCATCAGTCAGGTGTCATGTAGGCTTCCAGTGCCATCAGCTGTTTCGCCCTTGAACAAAAAGCTGTGTTACAGGAATTCAGTGCATAAAGCTGAGCAGTGGGTGTAAGCAAGAAGCTCCTTGGCACCTCAGTCTCATCTCTCAAGCAACTGTGTGGGTGTGCCTTGGCACACATTTGTATCAAATGGAAGACTGGGACTATAATAACTCTTTTTAATTACAAAACTTGCATTGTGTAAGAACTTGCACCAAGCTCAGTGCATCCCTTTGATACGAATAGCTGGGAAAAGGGAGCTTGGATGGGCTCTGCCACAGGCATCTGCTATCCTGATGTGAAAGAGCGAAAGTGTGTTACTGTCTTTCCCAAAGCATTAAGAACAGCACTGCATGCAAGCCACTTCTTTCATTATTTCAGATTGGCTCAACTGACTGGAATATGATACTGTGCTTAATGCTAATGAATATTTTTAATTGTTTTCCTTTTAGGATGCAGGTGTATCCCCCGAAAAGGCAGCCACGGATCCCAGTGGTGAAAATAAGAAACTCAACAAATCCCAGCAACTGAAACAAGTTTTTAAAGAATATGGTGCTGTAGGGGTTTCATTCCATGTTGGAATTTCGTTAGTATCTCTAGGAATCTTCTACCTGGCTGTGTCAAGGTGAGGTTTGTACAGTTGTCTAGCCTCTAGGTAATGGTTTAGCCAAGAAAAAAATCTTACCATTGCATTTATTTCTGGAAGGAGACATGAACTCTGTGCCTGTTTGATCTATACACGGTGATCTTCTGAATTTTGAGTATAGATGGATCCATAAATGGATCTAATCTCCCATCAGGCATGAGAGAAGACAGATATACGTAGTCTTTTTGCATAGGTTCACAGTCGGCAGGTGAAAACAGCAGAGTAGAGACTGCAGCAGAGTAACTAGGCAGATGAGAGAATTCAGGTTTGTTCTGCAGAGATATCTTTTTGCTTTCAGCCAGTAGTATGGGCTATACAGATAGAGCTATACAAGAGTGCTGGAGCTTAGAGATTAAATTTATTTTTCTGGGTGTTGGACACAGTTTCTGCAGTTTCAACTGCAGAAGGCAATGGCCACTAAAACAGAATTAGATTAAAAAAGAAAATACTGGATAACCATATAGAAGTCAGGTGGGAAGTTGTGTATGTGGCTTTTGATGGGAATGCATCGGTTATGGGTACGTCTGTTGAGTATGAGGTATTTCAACTGAGGAAATGGGGAAACGCATTGTTTCTCAAAACATTCCCTGCTGCTTACTCTTGACTTCAGTGGGAATATGTGAATGCCTGATTTCTCTTGTTTACTACATTGTGGCACAAGGTAGCAATAAAACTTTTTTCCTTCGGGCATGATTTAACTCCCAGTTACAAGATACTGTACTGTAGAGGGGGAAAAGTTGTGATTTTCCAAAAGAAAACCATTCCAAACATAGGAACCTTGATGAAAGCTGCTATATCTATAGAGAATTAAAATACTAATGGATTTGTTGGATAAAGCTTATTTGAGATCCATAATGCTTCCTTCGCTTTAACTAAATTTGAGATAAGATGGTTGTCATTTTAACAGCTTTGTACTGCTCTGTTAGAATACTCTAAGCCTAACAACAGGTACCTTATTTGGTTTGGGTTGATCCATATTTATGTGATAAATTTCATCAAGACGCAGAATCTACTATTGTAAATTTCAGGAAGATGAATTTCCAACACAAATTCACAAATTTCTAACTTTTTTAAAATTCAAAAGTAGAGAAATAGGTTATTTTGTCAGAAGGTTGAGCATGGGGCTGAGTATTCTCCATGTGCATGCTGCAGCTATACAGTTGTAAAACTAAGAACATACTTGACTTCACGGGGAACTTGTCAATTTAAGAAAAAAAATGTACATCTAAAAATATTGCATGTGGCGTTGCTACAGAAGTAACTTGAGCTGTTACTGCTGAAATAATTAATTGTTTTTATTATTTAACAACATCTAGATTTAAACATAAATTCTAGAGCTGGAAGTATGCCATGTTAAATTCCCTGAAAAAATAGTCTTTTAACTTATATTCTATAGCATGCAACCTTAAAATAAACTAAAGAAATCTTGTTTTCTTTTTCCCTAGTGGTGTGGATATGACTGCAGTTCTCTTCAAACTTGGTTTCAGTGAATCATCGTTGCAATCTAAAATGGCTGCTGGTACAAGCACATTTGTGTTGGCATATGCTGTTCACAAATTGTTTGCTCCAGTACGCATCAGCATTACTGTAGTTTCTGTGCCATTTATTGTCCGATACTGCCGGAAGATTGGTTTCTTCAAACCTCCTGCCCCAAATCCATGATTATTTCTTACTGTTTTTTACTCTGGTTTTTAAATGCTCTATATCCATGTAGTTTTTCGGATTGCTAAATTTCCTTAAAAGACTTATTTGGATTCATGTTAATGCTGACCTCCTCTTGCATTTCCTACTTGTTCTTTCAGGTAAATGTTACACTGTGAAAAGTGCTGTCCATATCTTCTTTCTCTTTTACCACTTCTTCTTTAGAAAAACCTGTTAAAATAGTATCTGGTTTCCACTGCAAGTGGTCATATAAACGCTTGACAATGAACAGTCTCTTTAGAACACACAGTTCTGTGTCTTTATAATCTAGCTTTTGGGGCCTTATTTTTTTTCTTGTCAAAATAGAGCAGCAGCATTATTTTATTACTGTGTAGTTGGAAAATGGCATACAATTCTCTTTCTAATAGTCTGTGGAATAAACAATATCCTACTATACGAATAATTTTTTTGGTAAGTGTATAAATGGGAATCTAAGGTGAGTATTTCTTTTGTTATAAAAGGCATACATTATGACACCAGCCCTACAATACAACACACATGCTGAACTAACCTAAGTGGGAATACCTGTATGCTTAATTATTGCACAGTGGCAATTGTTTTAGCCAGAGTGGGTGATGCACTGTTCTGAAACTACAGCTCCTTTGTGGTGCTTCCATGTTTCGAGATTTTATTGTTTGAAAATGTGCTTTATTTTTAGGCTAGGAAGTGGCCTTACTGAAGTTTTTTTTTTTAATCTTTTTTTATGCCTATAGACTTAGAAGGAATCCTGAGTCTACTGAAATCAGTGTAACCAGAATTACCTCCTGTGTGACCATATTCCAAAGATCATCAAGTCAGAGGCAAGATATCTGTGGGTTTTTAACATATTGAGATCTGGCTTTGTACTGGAGTCACATTTTTATCTGAAAACTAACCCTAGCAGCTTTCTGCTCCTGTGGATGAAACTCAAATCTGCATCTGCAGTCCAGACATTAACAATTCATGGCTTCTCAAGAGCAATTCCTGTTTTTTGTCTGACAGGCTGATGAATGTACCAATTACAGGTGCTTTTCATTTCCTTATTTGGACACTGTTCCTATTAGAATGTAGTTGTACATACCTTTATTCACGTACCACCTTTCGGTTAACCTAAAGACTGGATCCCAAAACTAGGAAGTCAACCTAATATTCTGTGGTAAACCTGGGCTTTAGACTTAGGACTCTACTTCTGTGAGAGAGCTTGAGCCAGATGTAGGAGTCTTCTGGACCTGTTCTTTGCAGGTCTGCTCTTTTTACATTTTCTTTCTCTGTCTTTGTGCTTACACTTAACCCCAAGGTGGCTCCAACACAGATCTGTTCATACAGGAATCATCGTAAAACAGCAGGAAGTTACCCTGATGATCAGAGTAATTTTTTTTTTTCTTAAGTTTATTGAATTGACAGGAAGGAATCAGGGTTAGGGCAAGAGCTGATGGAAGGACAAGCAAGTGATTTTGTTATGAGCAACTTATCCACACACATCTTTGTACCTCTGTATGATTGCTACCCCTTGGTTAACCAGGCTTTCTCTAAGACAGGGAAAAGCAGAAAGATATGTAGTTTACTTCCTCTACCCTGTGGAAGCAAGCTGACACTAGAGACTGCCACCTAAAAACAAAGAACCCCTTGACAAGGGCTTGGTCTCAGTGGGGCTGTGCTGTTAGCCCAAATGAAGGGTTAACATCTTAAGATGGAAACAGTTGCAGCAGTGAACAGGTACACATGCTAGAGTCTCAATGTACAATAAAAACATAGCTATACATGGCATATATGTAAAGATGTGTTGCACAGGTAATCACTGCTCAAAATGCCAGCCTTAGGAGCAGGACATACAGAGGATCAGCCTTGCAATGTGGCCTGCTTCCATGGGAGCTGTGAAGTGTGTCACTAACAGAGCTTGTCATGCACAGCTGCTCAGCTTGCTTGTGAAGTGCAGAGCCAATGCTCTCCTGCTTCATGTACCCATGTGTGCAGGAGGATTGGCTGTCAAGTTCATTTTGACTAGCTGCTTATTCAAAAAACAAACCAAACCAAAAAACCCCAGAGAACAAACAAACCCCACACTGAATAATTCCCATTTCATGCCTGCTTTGCCGTATGGCTGCTGAAGCTGGCAGCTTGTCCCAGGTACTAGCTTTAGCTTGCTGAGCCAGCTCTAAGGAGAGGGTAAGTTTCAAATCAGCTTGTCTGTTAAGGGAGCTCTGCCTTTACCCTTGACTAATCTGTGATTATTACATCTCTTATGTGGATGGAAAGTTACTGCTAAGCATTTAATAGATAAAAACTGCACTAACTACACAGCAACCAACACTACCGTAGCTTTCTATTACCTGCAACATTCCAGGACAGCTGGAGTCTTAAATTTCAAGTGAGCAGGCAGGCAGTCTTAAGAGTAAGCTTTACTTGGGCTTATTTTTTCTCCTGTTCACAGAAGCCTTTGTGTTGGGTTTTTTTTTTCCTCTCTCTACCTGCCCTCTCCTTTTGTATCAGTTTAGGGCAATGTTCTGTTACCAAGGATAACAAAAGAATTCTAGAATAATTACAAGGCAGCCTTGTTTTCTTCACTTAATCAGTCATTTCTGATAAGTATGTTTTGTCCTAAAGTAAATATTCAAGCTTTTTCTTTAATAAAAAAAACCTTTCTGTAAAGCAGGAATAATTTAAAGCAAATGCACCTAGAAGTTATTAAAAGTCACCAGCACTAACTAGATATTTTCTTGCAGCAGACAGATAGAGCTTCATTTAAATTATGACTAGAATTCAGATTACCTATTAAGATAAACATGGTTGTATAAACTACTGGCAATTTGTTTTAGATGAAGTTTTTTGCAAAGTGTATTTTAAATTAATTTGAGAATATATTTTGAATTCCAGAATCCTTGCTTGTAAAAGGATCATTTTTTTTAAAATGGTTTGTAAAATAGCAAAGATGACCTTGAGGTCTTATAACGAAAATACAATAAATTGCTTTCTCTTAGTTTGCTTGAAGTGTTTTACTGGAAAATAGTTGGTTTGTATGCTTTTTTTGGCAAGTGGCATGACCCTTGCTACATTTTAGGGAATGATGTCTTACTGAAATTAGTTTGTTACATATCCTGTTTGATAACAATACTTTCCAGACCTTTCTTAGAAGTGCATTGAACTGCATTAAAAAAAAAAGGAAGAAGCAGGCCTAGGTTTCAGTGGTTATAGAAAACCCACAAGGTAAGTAGCCACACATTTATTACTTACCTTGTAATCCTGTGTAAGTGACCACATCTACTTTGTGGTACCAGCACTTAGAGCAAGAACTTTATACCAGCTTCCTTTTTGACAAAGGCAGGAAGTAAACTTATTTTGTGATCACTGATGACCAACCAAGCTGTACTGATGGTAAAGACAAGTGGTTAAGAGACAGCCAGTGGAAGTGATAAATGCCATAAGGAACTTTACCATGCTGGTGACAGTATATAACGAGTCTTTATTTTAAAAGTAGAGTGCTCACATTTAAGACAAAATAGAGAGAAAAATAATACACGCATCATTTTTAGGACACTTGGAGAAATGCATTCACCTCACCCAGTTTCAGATCACACCACAGTTATGATACCCTTAGCAGCCCAATAAGTTAGGAGGCCGGTATCTCCGGGATATTGCACTGTTCAATAAGCTAGAACAACTTCCTCTTGTTGTTGGAACAACAAACCTTTACCAGGACAGACCACATCATAAGAGCCTTGAACAGCTTAATACTTACATCCACAAACCTGGCCCACGTGTAGCTGGATTTCAAGTATATTAAGTATGCCACAATCTCCAGCTAAACGTCAAATAATTATATATTGCAATTAGAGTTTAAGACGGCCAACCAAAAGATTTGCATTCCAATTACCATTGGATTCCAAGACCTGCTTTTCCTATCGTAAGCATTACAGTAGTCACAGTACAAGACTCCTCTTGTTGATCCCATGGGGTTCCCTGCTAAGACTATGTTCTGGATGGGGCAGCAACATCACTCTTCCTGCTGTTGGGCATCTTTGTAGAGTTTGCCGTAATCCAGGGATGAAGTAGTACATCCTTCAGGGGCAGTCGAGAGAATGGGTTATGCTTCAGAAGCTTTGAAATTAAATCCCTTGCTCCTTCTGTTACAAATGGAGGAAACTTGAATTCCACCTACAGAAAAAGAATGACATTAAAGATGATGCAAAAGTTCTTTGGCAATAGCCAAACTAGAAAGACAGAGGGCTCTACCCTCCAAAGGTAGATCTAGAAAGGAAAGCTGTGGTAGCCTTGTGAGCTACGCACCTCATGCCTACTGAGCTGAGATAAAGCAGTTTCATCATAGTCCTGAAGAAAACAAGGTTCTCACTGCTTGTGGAAGTTAAACTAATGTATTTGTCTATGTACCTTGAAGAAAGTTAGTTTGCTGGAACCTTTCTAGGGTATGCACCAGGAAAAGTTAAGCTTCTCTATTTTTAGTAACACCTTAAATGTTGAATATTCATTTTATAAATCAGAAAAAGGAAAGATGTGGAGAAGATTAGTTGCTTTATGAAAGAGGTAGAAATTCAGATGCAGGCAAAACCAGGGTAGAACCAGGGAAATAAGGCAAGGTATCTTATGGTCTCTTGTAGTCATTCTTCTGAATGACTCAAGACAGCTTTAGGGATCTAGTTTGATGCATATCATCTTGCTACAATTTTAGTAATAATACATGCCGTTCTTCACAATGACCATTTGTTAAGCTTAAATAAGACAACAGAACTTAAAGGCAGCACAGTTCAGCTAGTCCAAGTAAGTGTTGGCACATACCCTGGAA